CATTGCACCCTCCAAAGCCTGCGGTCGCAAGTTGGTCAAAAGAGACAGATTCACATTAATCACACGGGAGAAACTACGGGATCTAATAATGACCATGCGACACTTAAAACAGAGGGCCGGGTTCAATTTGCAATTGGGAGTTTGGACATCCATGATGCGCCACAATGCATTAACGTTGCTACAGATGATGCACGATTAGACGCGAGTAATATTACCATTTGACTTTCTCCTAACGCAGGAGGATTGCTTGACTATGGTCCATGTGAGGGGTAGCAAGCCCATCTTCGTCAAGCCAGAGGCTGTAGTGATGAACCGGACTGCTAGCTCAAGTGAAATCCTCATCATCGATGACTCGCCGATTAAAACTGCAGCGAACACGCACACATATGCAGTGCATCCCATCTCTTGCAGTATGGAAACTAGGGAGAAGAAACCGTATGTTCTGGGGGACCTTGCAAAACGGCTTGGAGCGATGGTGATAGAGAACCGGCCATCCAGGAGGTGGCTGCAGAAATCAACCAAATGGCAGATGGAACGGTATATCAGAAGCCATTTGATTGGACAGACACCAGTCATCATTTATGGCATGTATATTGTCTAGCCAAGCACTATCCGCATCTCCATAATCTGCTAAACCGGATGGGTTCTTCGACCACTGAACATGAGCGTGGACGTATTAGAGAAGAGATGGCATTACTATTGGGTTTAAATCCTGATAGTGTGGAGAGTGATGAAATTCCAAGATTATTGTATAGGCGTTGGAGGCAAAAAATAACAGTCTGAAATGGCATGTATTTATTTAAAAATGTAACTTATTATGGCATGGGGTTCCATGCCATTGTATTAATATTAAAAGACAATTCTTTGAGAGGATTTGCATTATACTAGAAGTGTTACAGCATGTTATTGGAAGTCTACGAAGTTGTTTTATTAATAAGGGGAAAGTAAAGATTGAATGGGGACTTGGGCTCCACCTAGACTCGGAGCAACTGAGCCAATATTAAAAGGATGGAAAGAAATTAGACGACGATGACAAGGAGAAGAGAGAGGTGAAGCAGTGGCAGGGGGAGGAGAAGTGATTGAGTAGACATTTCCTTGTTTAAAATAAAATGGCATGTGCCTCAATGCAATTGAATTTTGTTATATTTATATACTATATAAAGGTTTGGAAACCTTATTTTACAAGTGGGATAATGACAATTCCCACTTTAACGAAATAGAGCTTAATGTATCTATTGAAGAAGTGAAAATGTTGGCGACATAAAAAGTTTGTAATTGATATAACACATTAGATGAAACGTGCCTTAGGAGGAACTAAACAAAGATGATAACTACTTTTGACTTGACAAATATAAGGTTTCATATAGAAAAACTCCATCACTTAGCAAAGGTAGATTTCCCTCAAGAGACACATGACTAATGGGTGGTGGACCTCTTAGAGCAACCAAACCAGTAGAAGAATTGAGGAGTGCCAAAGTATGATAATAGCTTTCATTTTTAGTATGAGAGGTAAAGTTGGATCACCAAGATTTTGGAGTTTGTATAAAATGAGGTAAAAAAGGCATTTCCAAATTGTCTCTTTTTAGAAGATCACACACCATTAAGCCTCGAGAATGTTTACAAGTACTTTTTATACTACTACTAAACACTTAACTTTTTTATAGGTACTTCAAAAAGCTCATAGCAAATGGATGGATTCGTAGCTTACCAAAAATTGCAAAATTCTCGAATAATAAAGATAAAAATAGAACAATGTTTGAGGAGTGTTTCATCCCCACAATGACACCATTTGAATTCAAGAACTGTCTATGATGGCTTGACTGGACCTTAGGTGAGTGTCCAAAGTTTGAGAAAATGGATTTCAAGAGAGGGGCAAGTAAACATGATTTAGAGGTAAATACAAAAGTGAAGGACATAGGGGAAATGATAGCAAAGGTAGTGACAAAAGGGAATAGGAAGGTGTTGAGGAAGAAGAAGGGAATTGATCTTTTGAAAGCCTCAAAAACCACACCATAAACGAAGCAAAAAAAGGAAGGACTAGGCAATCCAATGTAGATTGTCATTTCAGCATGAAAGAGGAAGCTTAGTATTAGTGAGCTCTTCGAGATAGTGACATTAAAAAAGCTCAACACAAACTAAGAAGCAGTGAAGGAGTTCCTCAAGATGATAGGAACTAAATTTACAAAGAAGAATAACCTCCGAAACTATAGAGTGCACTTTGTACTATGTGCGCTACCTCATAACTCATCTCCAAGATTTGCCACAGCAGCCTTCTACCATTGGGACCTCTATGACAAAGGCTTTGAATTTATTTATGAAACTACGAAGCCATTGTATAACGATGACACCAACATGGTTACAAGGTCAGAGATAAATCCAAACTTTCTTGGCTTTCTCAAAGTACAAGTACTTCTTGGCTTTTAAACTTTTTCAATGGCACAGAAAGCACCCTTCTCACAGTGGAACAATGGCCATTATGTACTATCATTAGAACAAGATCAAGAAGTTGCAAACTATATTAAATAAAGACAGTTGGAAGAGAAAGAAACTTCAATGCTACAACCAAAGGGGAAGAAAGTGATAAAGACACACCATAAGGGTTTTCAACCGCAAATTGGTAGAGGAAAATCCATTAGAGGACTCTAATTAAAATAATGTATATATATCTTTTGACTAATATAAAGTAATATTTTTTTTAAAAAATATCTATACTTTAAAGAAAACATTAGGAAGTACTTATATTAAATGAAAGTAAACCCACACTATAAAATGAAACTTGAAAGCTGACCCACACTATAAAATCCACTCATATATTAAACTATCACTTCATCTTTGTCTTCTTCCATATCATCTTCATAATAGTAGTCGATATAAGATGTGATAAATTCTTCAGCTGCCCTTGTCTTCCTTGGACGTCCTTTTACTTTCTCTTCCTCAGAGTTCAAGCTTAAAATTATATATATTGGAAGATAATAAAAAGTGTTTATCACACAATGAGACAGCCTTGCTTTGTAGACAGATTGCTTGTTCTTGGGAAACAAAATTTTGGCATCGGAAGACAAAGGCTTTGGAGACAAAGCTTTAGAGATGAAGTCTTTGGAGAAAAAGGCTTTGGAGACAAGGTGCACATAAAGACCCTAAATACCTTTTGAAATTGAAGAACTCAAAGGCAGCAAATCCAATCCATGCAGAGAGGGGAGGCCATGGCAAAGAGGAAGGGGACCATTCTGAAAATGGTGGGGCTCACCAATCCACCCAGAACTAGAACAAAGAAACCCTAAACACTAAAAATATGTTGTGTAAAGCTGTGAGTCATCCTTAAACATTGGAAAAACAAAACCAAATCCACCAATGGGGATTTAGTCATATTTAAAAAACCCAAGCAAACATTCATAACCTAAACCTATACATGTAACATCCAAAGCACTAGTTATCAACAGCGCACAAGATGGTCAAAGTTTGAATTAATTTCATATTTAGGGAGTAATATTCTTTTAATGTTACTAAATTCTAAAATATGCATTATACTTATCATCACATATTCCAAATAAATTCGAATATTAAACATATATTCAGTCCTTGGGCATGAAAAACCCTTAAAATGGAAATCCTCACTATCCTCAAGACACATCCTTCTGTAGAGCTGGAGAGCTTCCCAGCTATGCCCAAACTGGGCATGGGCCAAAATCATGGCACTCCAAGACACTGTGTCTCCATCTCCTGAAACAAAGCTCTAGCTTCTTCAAGGCTGCCACCTTTTGCATACATGTTAAATGGCACGACTTGGTCGCTTGTACCACACTGGAGCGATTGAGAAAGAATTTCCTTCCCAAACCGGAGGCCAGAGGAGCTCGCACAAGCGACGAGAACGGTGGAAAACGTCTTGACTCCATCAAGTTCCATCCTTCTCAGGAGCTTAAAAGCTTCAAGAAAATCACCGGCGTGGGAATTTGCTGCAATCGTAGCGTTCCAGCTGACATGATCTCTGCTGCTCACCCTGTTGAAACCATCTCTAGCTTCTGTAGTGCCCTTTGCATACGTGCGTTCTGAGAACCAAGTCGGAATTGAGCTGCCGGGAAATGATCTGCGGATGTATAGTTCGGCTGTGCAAAAAAAAAAACCACTATCGCCGAAAGAACAGCACAATCCCAGAATATTACAATATACCATTTTCGCAATGCCTTTTCTTGGCAAATGCTGGTAGCATTGAGTTCCAGGAGTCACATCTCTCACAGCCATGGAATGAAAACACCTCTCAAGCTTCGCCCAAAGAGCCAGATTTTACGTACATGCTCACGAGTGTTCTGGATCACCACATCGCAATGCAATCCATGCGCTGGGGGATCGCCCGCCCCTGTCCGAGAGCGCCCGCCTTGCAGCACGCACCAGAGACGAACTCATCGGCGAAAGCCCCCTCCATTCCATGAAAGATCTGGAGAGCCTCCCAAGGATGCCCATTCTGGGCATATGCGGAGATCATCATCGTTCAGTTGAAAACGTTCTTGGCGGTGATGTGATCAAAGGCAGCGCGGGCCAGCGGCGCGCTCCGGTACTGCCATACATCTTCAAGATGATATTCCCGAGCAGCGTGCCCGAATCCTGCCCAGAGTCTCGCACCCACGCCATGCCCTGTGCATTGCAGGGTCGCGGATGCCTGGATCGAGGCTCGCGTTGTGTGAGGAGCAGTCGATGTCGTTCCGCAAGGCTCGGCATTGGCTGTCCAAGAACTGCACTCATCAATCATGCCTCCCACGATTTCTTGGCAAAGGAGCATTCGATCGCTTCGAGTAGGATTGAAAACTATAAGCTCCCCACGAGAGGATCCTCGTTTGTGGTTTCGATTTCAAGGCGATCGTTGCCATTGGTGGCACATGTATAAGATGGACCCAGAGAAGCTTTTCACAGGATGAAGAACAGGACTGTTTTGTTTTGGAACACGACGACAACAGCATATGCCCAAAGAGGGGAGTTTTTTTAGGGGATCCGAGTCGGTGCTTTCGATGCTAGCGGCGTGCTCCAAGCAGAATGAGAAGCCACGGAGAGAAAATCCTCGAGGCGGATCGATCAAGTAAGCTATATGTGCATCCTCCAGACTTGTTCTCTTGGAACACTTAGCTCGATGCTCCAGTATGTTCGAGCATAGATATATATCCACACATCACTAACTTCGGCCAGTTCTGGAGCACCGCAGGTGTGCTCTGGATCCCTTGGCATGGGCGTGGTTGCTTTACGAGGCCGAGGCAAGCTGGATGAAGTTGCTTGGAAGTGTTTGCTCTCGGCGTGTAACAATCATGGGGATGCCAGTCGAGGAGCCACCTAGCGAAGCAAGTTCTTCGTTCCGAGTCTGGGAGATCAGCTTCTTAATAAGTTCTCGTCTCCCAGACCAGGTGAAATAGGCAAAACGCTTGTTGTAAGTCATGTCTCTTTTCCTTTCTCGCTGTTTCAATGATTATTAGCGTTAATTTCTGGACAGCAGCACTGGCATGAAAACTGTGACGTTTCCAGGCATAAGGTATGGTCCTCCTTAGAAGAACCACTTTGTGGTCTCATGCCTCCAGCTGGGCGCTAATGACCCTCCTTTTGTGTTTCTGTTATTCAGTTTTGCCCAAAAGGGTGACAGGAAAACAGGCAAGTTTTCCGATCACGCGTTATTTCTTGCATGACACATTTTGTAGCTTGCTAGGACAAGTCACGAGAATTTTTATGCAAAAGTCCAAGATGAGTTCTAACATTTTTCTTTCTGGTAGAGAGTATTTACAACCATGAGGTATAGTTTTCTTTTTTCCAGTTTTTTTTCTTCCCTTTTCTAAAGCTAATTTACTTATCCTTGGTATAGATTTAGGAACAAAGTTTTTGGCAAAGGAAAGGGTGTCGTGACTAAATCATTCCAAGTGCATAGAACTTTATTCCAGATCACATCATATCATCATTCATCCCAACAAGCTCCACTGATCGCTTTTTGAATCATTAGTAATTACAAACAAGGTTCTGATAATTTCTTGCAAAGAAACAACATGAATGGATTATTACTTTGCTTCCGCAGATCCTTGAAAGAAATCTTTGATACTTCTGAGAGTTTAATGCTTTAAAGAAGGTCTCAAGAACGCAGTTTCTTCACTTGTTGACTTCTGGAGGTGGTTTCCAGAATATCTTCTTGTGAAATATAAACCTTGTGACAGTGTCCTGACAATGACATGATCAAATTTTTCTTTCAACCTCCTGGTCCCTACCATAGTGCTGTCCAAGCACCAGGCACTCTAGAACTACAACAAGCTCACGACTCCTTGTTTGGCTGCAAAGGCAGAGTCTTTTCACTTCTCCAAAACATGACTCTCAAGAACAAGATCATCGTCACAAGCCTTGGAATCGCCTTTCTCTTGCTGGTCATCCAGCTCCCCTTGGAAGTTCCTCAGGTGTGAGAGTGAGAGACAGAGAGAGAGAAAGAGAGAGAGTAGTAGCCAGAATTTCTAACTCACTGAGATTTCTTAGCAATTTCAGCTCAATTCCGTCAATTCCACGTTAGAGGAGCTCCACAATTGCAACTTCTCGGCTCAAGCCCAAGGCAAATGCCCGGATTACTTCAAGTGGATCGAGCGCGACCTCTCTCCCTGGAAGAACACAGGGATCTCACAGGGGGATTTGCAAGAAGCCAAGTCCAAGGCGGACTTTCGTGTGGTGATCGTCGATGGCAAGCTATACATGGAGCGATACAGGTATTGCTACCAGACCCGGGCACAGTACACGCTGTGGGGGATTCGTATGCTTCTCGAGGAATTCCCGGGACAAGTTCCAGACTTGGAGCTCATGTTTATGTGTGGAGATCGCCCACAAGTTTTGCGGAAGAACTACTCAAGCAATTCGGTCAAGCGAAGATGGCCACCGCCTCCTCTTTTCTCTTACTGCACTACGCGGGACGAGCACTACGATATTGTTTTTCCAGATTGGTCTTTCTGGGGCTGGTAAATTTTTTTATTCTTTTTAGAAGTTATATTTTTAATAGTATCATTTAGGCCAGAGGTGAATATTGCTCCCTGGACTGTGGAGAGGGAGAAGATCTTTTCTGGAGCTGAAAAGATTAAGTGGCTCCAAAGGGAGCCAATTGCGCAGTGGAAAGGAAATACTTGGATGGGAAAAATTCGGCCAATGCTGGTGCAATGCAATTCTTCCACAAGCATTCTTGTGTATCATCAGGTGATTTTTTCATGATCTGTTTCATACCATTTTTCTAATTCTTGGTATTGCTAGAACTGGGATGAAGAAATTAAAAATAATTTCAGCTCTTCTGATCTATCCAAGCAATGCTCATATAGGTGGTGCTGGTTTTATCTTTCAGTGGAATGAATTAATATTCTTTTTGCAGGTACAAAGTTTATGTTGAAGGAATTGGCTGGTCCGTGAGTCTGAAGTATGTGATGTCTTGTGGATCAACAATGCTTCAAATCGATCCTCAGTATTTAGAATTTTATTCTAGATCACTGATCCCATACCTCCACTTCATCCCAGTAAGGAAAACCAAAATATGTCAATCAATTCAGGAAGCGGTAGAATGGGGAAACACTTTTCCACACAAAGTAAGGACATAATTAGTGGAAAGAAATTTTTTAATTTAACTTTTCTTACAGGCTTTATCACTGGGAAGATGTGCACAGAATTTCTTGCAAGAACAACTGACAATGGACTATGTATATGAGTATATGCTACTTCTACTCCAACGCTATGCAAAATTGCTGAAGTTCAAGCCAGTTCCACTACAAGGGGTGCAAGCAATGAGCTTAGATTCTAATCTGCCATGGCATAGCCCTTCTAAGCAACGGCTACCTTTAATTCCTTGTAGTGTGTGTTAAACAGTTTGATAAAATGAATAGGTTTTCATATATAAAATATAGATAAACCTTTTGCTAATTTTTTTATATTAATTTTATTTTAATATAATTTAGTCGTCCAAATTTGAAAATTTTCCAAGGGTCAAATAATTTGACTCTCTCAACACTTTTACGTACTAGTTTTTGTCATCTAATCTTTGATCATCCCATTTGATTTCACTAAAGTTTTCTCCATCTTGTGACACTCTTTTTCAGGATGCATTTGAACATAATCTCTAATTTAAAAAGCAAAACTCCACAAGAATTTCTAAGTTATCTGTTTCATGTCATGATTCTTCTCTCTTTGTTGTGTTTCTCAACCTTTGCTTTCTTGGTAACATTAGTTTTGGATGATTTTCCATTTTTCTTTTTCACTTTTATTATATTTACATCAAGATTTTTAACAGTCTTTACATAAAGCATAAAGGGGTTCTAAAATTTCCCACTATTTTCTACACAGTCGTTGTTAGTAGCCACATAACATTAACCTAGAATGTAATGACATACTAGGTGTTGATTATATTCACATAATGTTGCACTTGATCTACCTTTCACTCCTCTATTATATATAAATAAATGGTTAGATATTATGCTATAATTTGGTTTTCTAGGGTGTGGTTATACACTCTAATCTCATAACAATTTTTATAAAATATTTTGATGTGTAAATGCCAAAAATCTCATATATAGAGGGTAAAAATATTAAATGGTGTTTTCATATATTTGTCAATTCTCTATATTTACTAAAGAGTATATTAGCTACTACAAGGAATCAAACCCCAAACCTCTACTGATGAAATTTGAATTTAATACCTGCTATGCATAGACTTATATCTAAATTAAATTTCTAAATTAGCTACTCTCTAGTGTTTATATCATCATCCAATCATATAGGTATACCCTTCCTTGGTTGGATTAGATTCCAAGTTAACCATTTCCTTGTAAGCTTGATCATATAAACAATTAACAATTATATATATATATATCACTAAGGGATGAATTGAGGGTGCAAACTAATATATACAAGCATAACAAGCACATATATATACACTGTATTAATAATGTGTAAAATTTGAATTTCTAGAAACAAATTATCATTAAACAAACATATTATAACTATAAATTAACAACTAAGTTTTGCCATTTGTATGTTATTTATTTTTTTTAATTCATTAAAATTGAGAGTGCATCATATGAATTTGGAGATAAAGGAAGCATAAGTAATACTGATATGGAAATAATAATGAGTGGTATAAGCTTTATAATCTCAAAGATTTATGGGAAATTATCTAAGTTGCATATCAAATAGAAATACAAATGGAATAATTAAAAGCCATACTATTTATGAAGGATTGAGATTTTTATTATATATTAAGAGTACATTTGAAGATATAAACTTTTCTTAGCATTATATACCTCAAAATATCATATTAAAAAATATTACTTTAAACAAACATTTAAATATAACTGTCAAGGAGTACACTTCTGTTCTGCTCCATGACAATTGTCAAGGATTTAATGTGGTTTCTTATGCAAACTCTACATCCATTGAGTGACAGAAGTTTATAAGAATGTTGATTGGTACATAAAGGGGAGAACAAATGATTCAAATTTATCTCTATTTTAGTACTATCAATCCATTTTTTGTTTCAACTATTTTTCAAAAAATGGTTTTTTCATGCCCTTTCTGAAAAGTTGGAATGGCTCTCAAAGGTTGGAATTTCAACTTGAGATGCTTATAAATTCAGGAGGGTAGTACAAGATAACTTTGTGTGTAGCTGAATAAGTAATATTTTAGTAATGAATTATGTTACAAGCTCTTGAAGCTCTTGAATGAATTGGAGAGAGCAATGTAAGACGAGGCTGTGTCTTTCTCACAAGACCCATCGCCCTGAAGGAGTAGCCTCTTCCTCGCCACCACCGAGCTGTCTACTCCATGAACCTGGGAGCTACTCACCAGCGTCATCAAAGCTACGTGCTTGATTGCGGGGAAGACCTTGGCCACCTCCTCGGCCTCGCCCACCCTCCCGGCTCTTGCCAGCATATCCATCACAACATTATAGTGCTCAGCACTGGGAGCGATGGCGTGATCCTCCACCATGGAACGGAAGTACTCTCGTCCCACACGAACCAGTCCTCGGTGGCTACAAGCGTGGAGAATGCTCGTAAACGTGATCTCGTCCGCTTGGATTCCATCCAGCTCCATCTCTCGAAACAGCTCCAGAGCTCCATCCCCGCGAGCGTGCTGCGCGTAGCCCACGATCATCGCCGTCCAGCTTAGAACGTTCTTGCCCCGGATGCCATCAAACACGGCCCTGGCGTCGTCCAGAGCTCCACACTTTGCGAGAGCGTTCAAGAGCTCGGTGGAGGCTACCACGTCCGGCGGAGACGACGATGGTGATAACATCTTCGCCTGGACGAGCTTCGTGGCTTCCAGGCTCGAGCACGCGCCGAGAACCGTAGTAAACACGACGTTGTCCGGAGGAACGTCCATCTTTCGGAAGAGTTGCAGTGCCTCGTCGGTGAATCCCCGCTCGATGCAAGCTGCGATCATCACTGTCCAGGAGAAGACCTCCTTCGCGGGGAGTTTGTCGAAGAAGTTCTTGGCGAGCTCCAAGTTCTCGTCTCCCAGCGTCACGTACATGGTGAGCAGGCAAGTTGCGACGGTGGGATCCGAGTCGACTCCACTCGCAGTGATCCGCTGGTGGAGAGCTTTGCCTTGATCCAAGCTCGAACAGGCTCCGAGAACACTGGTGAGAGTGAACTTGTTTGGTTCCACTCCGTGGAGATTCATCTCGTGGTAAAGATGCATGGCCTCGTTCTTGGAGCTCTCCTCCTCCGCAAAGCTCAGGATCATCGCGTTCCAAGTCGCGAGCTCCCTCTTGGCCATCTTGGAGAACAATCTCCTGGCTTGATCCATTGCTCTGCATTTGGCGTAGAAGTTTACCAGCGCGTTCTCCAGAGCTGGAACGGGACCAAAGCCAGTGTCGACGATCCGCGAGTGGAGAGCCTGGCCATCGCGGAGAGATCTCACGCTCGAGCAAGCTCCAAGAACACTGCAAAAGGTTGCTGTTACTGGCTGTGTCCCGTCCAAGACCATCTTCCTGTAGTAACTTAGAGCCTCCCATCCCCGGCCAGCTTGGAGAAGCCCCGCGAGCATGGTGTTCCACGACACAACATCGCGAAACTCCATGGCGTGGAAGATCTCCTCGGCCTCATCGGCGCAGCCACACTTTGCGTAGAAGTTCACCAGCGCGTTCTCCACGAGAAGAATCGATTCCCGGCTCGTGATCCTCGTCTTCTTCTCCGTGAGAAACTTGCTATGGATCTCCCGCCCTTCGTCCAGTGCCTCGAGCCTCGAGCAAGCCGCGAGAACGGTAGAGACGGTGGCGGCCTCCGGCTTGACGCTCATCTCCAGGTAGAGTTCTAGAGCTTCCTCGTCGAGCTCATGTTGGACGTAAGCCGAGACCATCACCGTCCACGAGACCACGGACTTGTTCTCCATCTCGTCAAAGATGGATCTTGCATCGCCGATCCGTCCAGAGCTCGCGTACATGCTCACAAGAGTGTTTTGCAAGATGACATCAGCTTGAATCCCCGTCCCCCGGACGATGGAGTGGATCTTCCGGCCCTCGCAAAACTCTCGAGCGCTGCTACACACCGCCAACACTGTCGCAAAGCTGACCAAGTCGGGCTTCTCCCCTTCCAAGTTCATCCTTTTAAACAAGTCGAGCGCTTCTTTGTAGCATCCAAACTGGCTGTAGGCCGAGAGCATCGCATTCCATGACACCGAGTTCCTCTTCTCCCCGAGATGATCAAACATCTCCCTGGCCTCGTCCAAGCAGCCACACTTTCCATACATGTTGAGCACTGCGTTTTGGAGAACTAAATCTCGGTCGTAGCCAGTCGCGAGGATTCGCTGGTGGATCATCCTGCCTTGCTCCAGGAGCTCTCTCCTGCCGGAGCAAGCGTTCATGACGCTGGCAAAAACAAACTCGTCCGGTTCCATGCCTTCCAAGCACATCCTGTGGTAAAGTTCCACTGCCTGCCTGTGATGCCCAGCCTTGACATAAGCCGAAGTTACAATCGTCCACGAGTAGTCGTTCCATTCCAGAATCCTGTCAAAGGCCTCGCGAGCTAGCTCGAGCTCCCCGCACTTGGAGTACATTTGCACCAGCAAGTTCCCCAAGAGTGTTCTTCGGTCCAGTCCGGTTTCTCTGAGTTGCGAGTGTAGGTTCTTCCCTGAAGATAAATCCTTCTCTCTCGCGTAGTGCCGGAGGAGGTCTGCAAAATCTGGACTTGATCGGAGCCCATTGCCTGAATTGCTGCGATGTTCTGAGACCTCTGGAAAGGATTTTGGAAGGAGCTCACCTGTGAGTTCCCCGGAGCTGATAACCATTCACCTCATAGCCAGCAACAAAATATCCTCGTATTTGCTTTTCGCTCTGTAAACACGAATGTTAACTAGAGAACTTGTACCTGGCTCTTGCCGTGACTTAAGTGGCATAGCCAAGATAAAAAATCTTCTTTGATAGTTAGTAACTGCAATGACAACGCGGGATTATCAGAACCTTCACCAAGTCGAAGAAAAAAGAAATCAACTTCACCGGTATATGCGAGTTTCCACCTGTATGAAAAATATTAGCAAGGAGATAAAACTTGGAAAAAGCTATACCTTGTGACTGAATCATATCTCGGAGATCTTCCTGGAGTTTAACTGACTTGGTTTGATCGAATCAACTCAAGCCCGAGCTTTTCTATGCTCCTCCATCATCCGCTTTACTCTCTCCACTGCATCCCATCTTCCCGCCTCGGCACAGAGATTTGCCAGCTGAACGAGTGGTGCCGGATTCTCTGGTCTCACTCTCATGAGCTCCTCCGCAGCTCGTGCAGCGATTTCCACATTCCTGTAAGTTCTGCAAGCCGCCAGGAGGCTCGTCCACGCGATAACGCTGCCGGGAAACGCATGCTCCACCATTTTCTCAGCCGCTGCGATGTGTCCAGTTCTTCCCAGCAGATCGATCACACACCTGTAGTGCTCGTCGACCGGAGCAATCCCAAACTCATCCACCATGTCGAAGAAGTAGCCGAATCCATCTTGCAGGAGACCCGAGTGGCTGCAAAAGTTTAGGATGCTCGTGAAAGTCTGCTCGTGTGGCTCGCCTCCCTCGAGCAGCATCTCCTTGAAGAGCTCGAAAGCTCCACCGCCATCACCATGCTGACAAAATGCCGTCACCATGCTGTTCCACGACACGGTGTTCCTGGAAGCCATGCCGCGGAACATCTCCAGCGCCAGCGTCAAGCTCCCACACTTCGCAAACATGTTGACGAGCCCGTTTTGCAGCGGCACCACCACTTCCAAGCCCCGGGAAACTATCCTCGCGTGGACTGCCCGCCCCTCGCTGAGATCTTTCGCTCCGGAGCAAGCTCCAAGAACGCTGGAGAAAGTGTAGATATCCGCCTCCAGTCCCTCCAAGTTCATCGCGTGATACAAATCCAGAGCTTCCTGCCAGTGCTCGCCTTGGACGTAGCCGGCTATCAGTGCGTTCCAGACGACCACGTTGCTGGAGCTCATCTTCGTGAAAGCGGTCATGGCGTGCTCGATCCCTCCACACTTTGCGTACATGGCGACGATAGCCGAGCCAGCGAGTCCATCCGGCTTGTCTCCCATCCTTGCGTGGATTCTCTCGCCTTCTTCCAGCGCTCCAAGGCTGGAGCAAGCTCCCAAGAGGCAGACGTGCGTGAAAGTATCCGGCTCGGCACCATGCACGTCCATCTCCTTGTACAAGCTTAGAGCTTGCGAGATATGGCCGTGTTGAATGTAAGCACGAACGATGGCGTTCCAGGATCCAGTGCTCTTCTCTCGCAGATGATCAAACGCTGCCTTGGCCTCCACCAGGTTCCCAAACCGAGAATACATGGTCACGGCTGTGCTCCCCACGAAAACATCCGCGCCATAGCCGCAAGAGATGGCCCTCTTGTAGAGCTTATCTCCATCTTCCAACGCGTCCATGTAAGTACACGCCGCTAAAATGTTGACAAAGGTGCTCTCGTTGGGCTTGACACCATCAAGATCCATCTCCCAGAAGAGCTCCAGCGCTACTCTTGGACGACCGAGCTGGGAAAAGGCCGTGATGATGGCAGTCCATGAAACTACATCCTTTCTCCTCAAGGAATCGAAGATCTTCTTCGCATCGCCGAGCTTCTCACACTTGCTATACATTCCTAGGATCGCAGTGCTTACGACGGTGTCGGTGTCCCAGCCGAGAAACACCATCCTTGCATGGATCTTCCTGCCGGTTTCTACGTCGCCCAAGTTCGAGCAAGCTCCAAGGATCCATAGAAAGGTGACCGAGTTTGGCCTGATACCTTCCAAGTCCATCTGGTAGCTTAGAACCAATGCCTCCATGTAATGCCCGTTCTGGGCATAAGCCGAGAGCATGATGGTCCACGAGTAAACGTTCCTGTCGATGAGCTTGTCGAAGATCTCTCGAGCTTTGCCCACGCAGCCACAGTTCCCATACATTTGGATCAAATTGTTCCCCAGATATGTATCTTTGTCCACTCCAGACTCGGCTAGCTTCTTGTGGATCTCCATGCCCTTAGAGAGTGACTTTGAGAGGCCGCATTCTCGCAAAAGTCTTCCATAGCTTGCCGAATCCATCCTGTTCTCGTCGTTCCTTGTACCATCGGCTTCCGGGAGGATTGTTCTTGTTCTTGTTCTTCCAGGCGAAAGCTGGAACTCGACAAGAGCTTGCATCTCCTTCTCCTGCTTTGAAAAGCTCTCATGAGTTTCTGCGACAGCATGGCTATTGAGCTCTAGAAATACCATACCTCGTTTCGAGCATTTGAGAGAACGTTCTATCCAACTCCGCCAGCTGAAGAAAGAAAACGATGAAACTTCACACAGAGAAAAAAGCTTCCCTCCTTCAAGTAAGATATCTTTCTTTTACCATCTTTCGAAAGCTACAAGCTCGCCAGAGAGCTTATTGTTCTAAAATCTGTGTGATCCGCGGGTAATGGCTTGTTACCAGGTCGCAGCAAGATCACAGCTTGGAGCCCTGACAAGAAAAAAGGAAGAAGACCGGTGTTAAGCGACTTAAAAGGTTTCACATACCAGCTTCTTTCGCAGCCTGTGCTTCCTCAAGAACATCTGTTGCAAAAGTGACAAGCGATGGATCATCCACACCTACAAACTGGAAGATCTCTTTGTAACTCTGTGGATCCCGTTTGTGCCTGGCAAGCAAATAAGATGAGTACTTTTCTAGTTCCTATAGAGCACAATGATATACCCAATGCTTGTGTCGAAAAAACCACATAAAAACCGTCGCAAATCACCGTGCTGGGTGCTCGCAAATATCATCCTTTGTGCTTCGCGGCTCCCACTTGAGTAGATGTAAGTCTGGTGTGGAAATCCACAGTTTTTGAAGGAAAAAGAAAAAAAAAAAAGAGCTTCACTCTTTTACCTTTGTTCCTGACTGTTGCCATTGTTCCAGAGCGAGAGGAACATCATCGAAAACTTGTCCTTTGAGTTCACCAGTGGTAAAACCTGTTCTCCAAATATGACCCTGATCCCAAACAACAGGAATCAGAAGAAACTCACAAAGTTACGTTGCTCTTTCGTGCCTGTAACTCCTTCAATGCGGGAACTTTGCGATCAGCATCGATCATACACTTGACATTTGCTACGACGGCGTCGATAACATCCTCCTTGGATGAAACTTTTTCTGGAGGAATCAGTGTTGCTCCTGGAGAGCTACCTTGCTCGGCCAAGTCCTGCATTACCTGATCAAAGAAATGAAAGAGAAATAAAGTTAACAACATCGAAGAAACTTGTTCTCGAGCAAACCTGGTCTCGGAGAAGCTGGATATCGCGCTGGGTCTCTGGGCTGTCAAATGTCGAGACCAAATGCTTGTGGACATTGTTATAAGCGTAAGGAAACAAAACGTCCGAAACGAACGAGATTGGAGTGGTGGTTCCTTCAATGTCCAAAACAACCACGGCCTTGCAACACAAATCGAAGGATAAGAACACTACAAAGCGATCCAAAATGACAAAAAAACATACTGGCTGAGACTTTGCTGCGATGCTACAAGCCTTCACTCGAATCCTCTTGTGAGAAACTTTGATTGTGGGCCTGAGGCACTTGTAGCATCATAAATTTTGGTGAGGCAGCCACATTTACAAATTCTAGAGTACCTGATGAGTGGAGCTCCATATCACACCAGCCATTTCTGCCCTAATCCGTTGCTAGATTATTTTAATATCACAATGGCCTTTTTTCGGCTATGCTGTAAAAGTAAAATTTTTGATTAAAAATTGTAATTTTTAAAAAAATTTAAATATCATAATTATAAAAATAATATGGTAAAAATTCTTAAAATTTCAAAAGTTATCTTAAATTTTGATAACAAATGTATAAAGTTGTTGTTAGCATTTTGGAATGCAATAGGTAAAAAAATTCTATGTTTTATTGAAAACTTCAATGCTTAATTAAAGATTTACAAAAGTTTTCTTACCAAGAATATATCTATATCATTAATATTGAAAAATATATAATGTGAGGGCCAAGTGTATAGCTATGATGCCGTATATTAATATTACCGTAATGGGATTTTGGTGGCCGTCAAATTAATTTCAATCCAAACCACTCACTTTTATATATAAACTAGGGTTTTTGGGCTAATTAATATGTATATTTTTTGTATTCCCTTTCTGTATTCCAAGCACTCACATTGGTGGAGGTGAAAGGCATTTTTGATTGTCCCTGAGGAGTGTTTAGATTTAGGATTTTAGTTTAGATCTAGCTTTTGCATCATCTAGATCTAATTTTTTCCATTTCTTTTTTTTTTGTTTTTTCCTTTCAGGATTTTAATTTAGATTTAGCTTTTTGCATTGTCTAAATTTACCATTTCCTTTTAGCTTTTTGTCATTTCTCTTCTTTTGCTCTTTCTTTTTCATTCATCTTTATAGCAGATTAGCAATTTCCTCCTTTAACTTTAGAGCAACAGTTGGTACAATTGTTTGATGCTATACGTTTGCAATTGAACAACCAAACTCAATTGATGGCAGCATTCATGGCATGTGGTACAACTCCTTTTGCTTTTGGTGCCAATCCTTGTGTTCAGCCGGAGGCGAGAATCCTAGGGATGATGTGTACCATTGGTTCGATCACTTCACAGTGATTGCCACATATCATTCTTGGGATGATGTTCAATGTTTACGTGAGTTTCCCACGTGTTTCCAAGGGACGGCATTGTAGTGGTATAATGGTTTGAGCGTAGCCACTCGTGGGGATTAGAGTGTTCTCCCAGACGTTTTCAAATGCGTTTGTGGACATGTCGACGACTGTGATGATGCCTTCTAACAATTGCATCATCTTTGCCATGAGTCATCTGAGTTGGTGATGCAATTTGGCATTCGTTTCCGAAGTCTTTTACTTCGTGCGGAGCTAAATATGTCGGAGCGGATCAAGCTCGGAATGTTGTGGTTATCACTTCATCAAGATTTTGTCAAACTTGTGCATGCACTTGCTTTTGCCACCCTTGATGATGCTTTTCACTTGGCACAACATTATGAGATGTCGCCTCTTCCCCTTCTCACTACATGTCCTTTAGCTCCACTTCCTATGGGTGATGGTCATGTTCCAATGGAGGTTGATGCTGCTGTTGCTCGAGTCCAAGGACAAGGGCGAGGACGTGGTCGTGGCCATGATGTTCGTTGCTGAGCATGTGATGAAGTTGGTCATACTTATCAGTGTTGTTGGTGTTTTTCGGATTAGCGACCTCCATTTTCTGGGTGGAGACCTTGGCATCAGCAACATCCTGTCAGTGGAAGGTCTAGACACCGAGATGCATCCAGGAAACGAGGAGTTGCGCGAGTAACGGAGGGACCTTGCGTGAATAAGTTAGTGACCCCTTCATTTTTTTTCAAGAGTATCATCAAGGGGTTTACTCGGCACTAGTTCATCCAATGTTTACTTTTCAAGCTTATTTTTATAACAAAAGGTCTTCTATTATTCTCTCCATGTTGGTTGATATAGGTTCAAGTTTATCTTCTATTCCTCGACCTGTTGCCACATGTTGCCGTCTACACTTGTATAGTGCGGCGGAACCAATTTTCATTCTTTATGGCAACAGCCGTACATGTGCATGTGCACAGGATAAAGTAGACCTGGTTGTGCATGTGGGCGATCTCGAGCTTGAGTTGTAGTCATGGCAGGTGGTGCCGAGTCAAGCTTTTTATCTTATTCTTGGTATAGATTGGTTGCAGTGCAATCATGCCAAATGTGATTTTGAGGCTTCTCCCTTTTATCTCATACTTCCTTATGTTTTATCCATTTCTAACAATCTTTGTGTTGTAGTGGTTGATCGGCTTATGAAAGAATATTTTGATCTCTTTGAATTTGACCTATCGTCTGGGGCCAAGAATGCCACATGTCATCTGATTCCAACTGGGGGATACTCGTCCAATAGAGGTTCCTATTTATCGTTGGTCACCCAAGGAGATCAAAATTTTACGTGCAAATGTCAAGGAGATATTGGAGAAGGGTGTTATTTAGAAGTTGTAAAGTTCTTGGGCATGTGAACCTCATCTTGTGACAAAGCTTGATGGGAGTATTCATTTCTGCATCGATTATTTTTTGTTAAATGAAGTGATGATCCCATATGTGTACCCTCTTCTTCACACTGCTGATTTCTTGGATCGTCTGGGGCGAAGTCGTTGGTTCACCAAGCTAGATCTTGCTTTTGGATACTGGCAAGTACCGATGGCTGAAAAAGATATTCCTAAAATTGCTTTTCATACATCATTTGGTTTGTACAAGTTCTTGGTGATGCCATTTGGTTTGAACAATGCTCTAACAACTTTCCAGTGGATGATGGACGAGGTTCTTTGTGATATGCCAAATGTGACTACTAACTTCATTGATGATGTCTTAATCCATTCGGAAGGGATGTGGGAGGAGCACATTTGTGATGTTTGTAAAGTGTTGGATCGGCTACGTGATGTTGGTTTAAAGCTGAAGTAGTTGAAATGCGTGTTTAGGTCCAAGAACACAACTTATATTGGGTACCATATTTTTTGTGGGGGTTTGCAAGTTGATCCTGACAAAGTTGTGGCTATTCTAAAGTTCCCTACTCCGAAGTGTGTAAATGATGTGCAACACTTGTTGGGCAAGGTGCAGTATCTCGATCGTTTTGTGGATTATCTTTCTGATCACACTGCACCATTGCGAGTGTTGCTGAAGTCATTAATGTCATTGTAAGCAACTAAAATCTCCATTCTACTTTAGTCACTTAACCACACTTCCGACCACTTGGAGGAGTCTCACTCACAACCTCTATAGGTCCTATTTTGGACTTAGGGACTTGCTAGCCCCCCAAAATGGCATCCATGCCACTCAACCATTGCATTTGGTCCAAGTGCTCCACGTGTCTGATCCCATGATTGACACCCCAAGGTACCACTGACATATTAACCCATTACGCTAAGGCTATGCCCATTCACCTTGGTCACATTGGTGGTTTGACACAACCTACATTACAGTTCTGTCTCTCAAAGATTGGGTCATCCATCTATGAGTAATCATCCCAGATCCACTCTTTAGCATCCTTAGGATGCCCACAGACATGGGGAATAGCCTTCCCCAACATCCCTTTTCCGGTCTCCACCAAGTCCCTTTTTGCCCATGGCCGTGTTCCCTAACATTGCCACTAGATCGACGCCCATAGGCAACCACTAAGTCCCATGGTCCTTTGGGACTTCCTCACCACCCGACTATATCCTTGGTCACTACCCCAAAGGACTACTCCTCTTCCTTTCCACAGTCTGGGCCTTTGGGACAACATTTCGAAACACCATGGCCCTACGTGGGCCTCATGGGTACTCTCCTTGCCTTCTGCCTTTGAGTGCTCAAATGAGGTTCCGTTGAGCCACGCAAGGTATCCAAGTAGGTAGTGCCACCCACACTTGGACTGGGAGCATCGGCCAATCGATC